ATGGATGAAAGAAGGGAAGGGGAAAGAGAAAGGAAGAAAGAATAGATGAAAGGGAAAAGGAGAGGAGAGGAAGTAAATGGATGAAAGAAGGGAAGGGGAAAGAGAAAGGAAGAAAGAATAGACGAAAGGGAAAAGGAAAGGGTAAAGGAAAGGAAGTAAATGGATGAAAGAAGGGAAGGGGAAAGAGAAAGGAAGAAAGAATAGACAAAAGGGAAGAGGAGAGGAGACGGAAAGAAAGGAAGTAGATGGATGAAGAAGGGAAGGGGAAGGAGAAAGAAGAAAGAATAGATGAAAGGGAAAAGGAGAGGAGAGGAAGTAAATGGATGAAAGAAGGGAAGGGGAAAGAGAAAGGAAGAAAGAATAGACGAAAGGGAAAAGGAGAGGAGAGGAAGTAAATGGATGAAAGAAGGGAAGGGGAAAGAGAAAGGGAAGAAAGAATAGACGAAAGGAAAAAGGAAAGGATAAAGGAAAGGAAGTAAATGGATGAAAGAAGGGAAGGGGAAAGAGAAAGGGAAGAAAGAATAGACGAAAGGGAAAAGGAGAGGAGAGGAAAGGAAGTAGATGGATGAAGAAGGGAAGGGGAAGAGAAAGGGAAGAAAGTAAATAGACAAAAGGGAGAGGAGAGGGAAGGAAAGGAAAAGAGAAAAAAGGACAGGGAAGGGAGAGAAAGGAAAAGAAAGGAAAGGAAGGAAAGGGAAGGAAAGGAGAAACAGAAAAGGAAATGAAGTAAATGGAGGAAAAAAAGAAGAGAAGACTTGATTACTTGAACCTTAATCCTCATAGTAAAGAGCCTCTCCCTCCTTTTCACTTTATTTAACTAAAAAAATATGTTCGACAACAACATTTTAAACAGCAACACAATAATGGCTTTCCAGCTATGTTTAGCACAATCCATAGAAACAGCGGCCTTAGTCTAAAGTCAAAGACAGGCACTCTCTTAATTAATGAAGATGATACTACAGATAATCCTCGGCTTACAACTGTTAGTTTAACGATCCTTCAAAGTTACAACGGTGCTTGGTTTAAGACAAATACAGCAGCCAGCATCACTGGATTGCCATATGTGACTTCCCAGCCGGCTGTTGACAAGCAAAGTCAAAGCATGGCTCACTTAAAGACCATGGCAAAGAACGGGGTGTAACTCGCTCAGCAACAAGCCCCCGGCCCAATTGTGGTCGTAAGTCAAGGACTCCCTGAAATTCTGCTCCTGCACAACATGACAATAACGTTTTTTGAAATAATCATGGGGATGATAATAATTATGATAACGATGTGGTATTACCTGGTACAGGTAGTCCTTGACCTACGGCCGTCATTGAGCCCAATATTTCAGTTGCTAAGCAGGACAGTTGTTAAATGAGTTTTGTCCCATTTTACGACCTTTCTTGCCACAGTTGTTAAGTGAATTGCTGCACCTTTTAAGTGAGTAACATGGTTGTTAAGTGAATCTGGCTTCCCCCATTGACTTTGCTTGTCAGAAGATCCCAAAATGTGATCNATGATAGTGTAGAATAATCATATCCAAGGACCAGTGGTGGGTTTCAAGAAATTTTGGAACCTCTTCTGTAGGTGTGGCCTGCTTTCCGGGTCCACCTCTAACCGGTTCGGTAGATTTGACGAACGGGTTCTACCGAATAGGTGCGAACTGGTAGGAACCCACCTCTGATCTGCTGAACTAAACTCTGCATTGGTGACGGGAAGGGCATCTGGCCAGTAAACACACTACTAGCTCCATTCAGTTGCCCAGACTCCACTCCACAAGGGATTATGGGGTCGCTAAATGAAGATGAGTGAGACATTGTGTGAAGTAGCGGTGCCTATATGGCAACCATTGTCTGCGAGTTACTGAGCTAAGCTCCTTCTTCAGGTCATTTATCTCAGAATCTAACAAAGCTGACATTTCCAAAGCAGCAGATAATATGACCTTGGCAAGCAGGAGAATTTCTCTTTTCAAACTCCACTGCTGCAAGAAAAGATGATGTTAAAAATAATGTCTAAAAGGCAACAATGAAGGCAAGGAGAAAAGGAAGGGAAAGGGAAGGGGAAAGGAAATAAATGGATAAAAAAGAAAGGAAGGGAAATAGATAGGGGAGGGAAGGAAAAAAGGAAGGAAGTCAATGGGTGAAAAAACAGGGGAGGGGAGAGAGGAGAGGAGAGGAAGGAAATGGATGAAAAAGGAGAGGAAAGGAAAGGAAGGAGGAAAGGAAAGGGGAAAGGAAAAGAAGTAAAGGCAGGAAGAAGGGAAGAAGGGGAAGAAGAAAGGGAAGAAAGTAAATAGATGGAAGGGAGAGGAAAAGAAAGGGGGGAAAGGAAAGGGTAAAGGAAAGAAAGTAAATGGATGAAAGAAGGGAAGGGGAAGGAGAAAGGGAAGAAAGAATAGACGAAAGGGAAAAGGAGAGAAATAAATGGATGAAAGAAGGGAAGAGGAAAGAGAAAGGGAAGAAAGAATAGACAAAAGGGAAGAGGAGAGGAGATGGAAAGAAAGGAAGTANAAAAGGGGAGCGAAAGGGGAGTGGAGTTTGCAGGAGACAATGAGTTCGCTTAATTGGTTCGTAATCTCTGAGGCTTAATTGGTTCGTGAATCTCTTTCATAGATTGGTTGATATCTGGTTCTGTTTTTCCCAGGCGCCCAACAAAAGCCTGTTTTCAATTCTTGGCAAGAGCAATCTCCGATTCGCTGGCATTAGCATAGCTGTCAACATTTCCATCGATGGTTTGAACCTGATGATCCCCACCACCAGACAGGTGAGACCTCCATCCTCCTCCATATGGGTTGTTGTTCCATCTGCCATCTGACTCCTCCCTCAGGTATGTGTTGGAAGAAGGCAAATCTGAAAACCTTCACTTCAAAACAGGTTTGGCTGAGATTAGGAATCTGTAGGGGATGAGCTGGCTGAGCCCGAGGGAGGGGTCAAGCCAGGGGTGGGTTGCCATTTTTTTATTACCGGTTTGTACATGCTCGCTCGCGTGATGCTTTTGCGCACACGCATAAGGTTCTGCGCAGAAGCGAATTGGCGGGTGGGCAGAGCCTCCCACCCCCTCTATTACCGGGCCACCCAATCTGGGCCGAACCTGGCGTGACCCGACAAATGCGCACACGACAAAAGCGCGCCCGACAAAACTGCGGCGCAAAAACCGTGACATCATAAACGCGCCCACAACAACGCGCTGACAAAACTGCGCCCACAAAAGTGCGATTTAAGTTAAGGTAAGGGTTAGATTTAGGGTTAGGTTCAGGGTTAGGTTTAGGATTAGGTTTAGGGTTAGGGTTATTAGGTTGTTATTACTTGTTTGTTGAAGGCGCGCTTTTGTCGGTGCGCTGTTGTCGGCGTGCTTTTGCGCTCATTCGTCGGCGCAATTTCGACCTCGCGGTTTTCTCACTGCGGTTTCGTCGGCATGCTTTTGTCGAGTGCTCATTTGTCGGTGAACCCAAACCTGGAGCAACCCACCTCTGGGTCAAACACATCATAAATCACGAGTCCCTGCACACCTGCAAGAGATCTTAAACCAGCCCACTGTGAATGACTTCTTATCTCCCGCTCATTTACTTTGACTGTTAGTTGGTCAGATTCTTGTAGAGAGCTTAAGCTTGCAATAAATCTTTAAACTCATTTGAATTGCCTGAATCTCCTGAATCCACAAAACATAAAACATAGGGATATGTTGCCAATTTAGAGTGAGATTCTGGGATTGGCCATATGGGTGATCCCAGTCAATTAGGGAATCCTTTCTTGAAGGGGTAAAATCAGAAAGCACTGCCTTGCTGTAAAATCAACTTACAGGGTGTCCTCAACATATGACAATTCGTTTAGCAACTGTTTGAAGTTACGGCAGTGTTGACTTCAATGGTCCTTGCATTTACACCTGTTGCAACATCCCACAGTTACCAGATTGTGAACTGAGTGCTTGGCAATGAGCTCGCATTCATGGCGATTTTGGTGTCCTGGGATCATGTGATCGCCGTTTGTGTCCTTCCTAGCTGGCTTCCAACAACAGGGAAATCGATAGGGAAGGATGCAAGTTGTGGACATACAATGTCTCGCTTAATGACTGCCGAACAAAAAGGGTTGCAACGTTGGATGCAGTCATGTGGTATTTCACTTAATAACTGCACTGCTTAACTGTGAATTTTCTGGTTCCAATTGTGGTCGTAAATCAAGGACTACCTATACAGCGAACACCTGGTGTTTTTCAACTGGCTGCATGGGTGATCCCAGCCAATTAAGGATTGGGGAATTCTGGGAGTTGAAGTCCACAAGACTTCGAGTTGCCAAGTTTGGTGACGCCTGTTTGTTGAGCAATATGTGTTGTGGCCCGCCAGCAGCCAGCAGAGCTGGCAGCAGATTCGGAGAGTGAGGAGGTTGGGGAGGAACATAGGCCAGTCCTGGAGTCTGGGGAAGGCTCTGATGAGGGCTCTGTGTCGGAGGCAGAGAGGGGGCCAGGGCCTTCTGACAGTTATCAGCTGCCTTCAGAGTCAGATATCAGTGAGGCAGACAAACATCTGGAGCCCGTTCCCAGTGTTCACATGCACAGAGTTGCCAGATGAAGGAAACAGCTAAAGAACAGGGGTCAGCTTGGGAGTAAGGCCACAGGAAAGACAATGAATGGCCCCTCCCAGAGAAAATAAAAGGGGAGCGAAAGGGGAGTGGAGTTTGCAGGAGACAATGAGTTCGCTTAATTGGTTCGTAATCTCTGAGGCTTAATTGGTTCGTANTCCATTCTATTAAGACCACCTAACCTGGCCAGCCACTGGTGGGTGTACCTGTGCACCCCCTCCTGCATCAAGGCAACTAATGTGGAAAAATTGTCTGCTGTGTTCGTTTAGGAAATGCGGGACTATCCTACTATCGTTGAAAAGCCAGAATGCCAACTACAGGAAGTCCTCGACTTATGACTACAATCAGCAGTGGGTTTCACATTTTGTTACCACCGGTTCACCGCCCGCACGCCTCCTCGGCCTTCCTCGCACACGCCCGGCCTCAAAAATGTGCCTAAATAGGACGGCATAGAGCCGGGGCGGTTTCCGCTACCAGTTTGAGTGAACTGGCCTTCACCGGCTGAATCCCATCTCTGACCACAATGGAGCCCGGAATTCCTGTTGCTAAGCGAGACAGTTGTTAAGTGAGTCTTGCCACATTTTACGACCTTTCCTGCCCCGTTTGTTTTAAGCCAATCACTGAAGTCATTAAATCAGTCACATGGTTGTTAAGGGAACCTGGTGATGAAGCCCCCCCACAACTTCCGAAGACAATTTTTGTTCCATTGGTCGATTTTTCTCACTGTCAGAAAATTTCTCCTTATTGAAAGACAAGAGATGTGCACCTGACAATGCTGGCTTGATCTGAGCTTGTAAACTCTGTGAGAGAGATATCCTGATTTGGGAGAAGAGCCTGCTAACGTCCAATCCTCTCCCCACCACCACCCCGCCCCACCCCAAAAAATCTGGCCCATTTCCTTCTCAGTTGCTTTGCTATTCAATTTTTGGTGCAAATGCCATTGTTTTCAGTAAGTCGTTCCTTCCCGATAGAGCTGGAAGGGACTTTGAAGGTCACCTAGTATAACCCCCTGCTCAAGCAGGAAACCCTATAGTATACCATTCCAGACAAATGGCGGTCCAATCTCTTCTTAAGGACCTTCAATGTTGACGCACTCACAACCTTTGGTGGCAAACAGTTCCACTGGTTAATTGCCCTCAGCGTTAGGAAGTTTCTCTTTAATTCCAGGTTACTTCTCTCTTTGATTAGTTTCCATCCATTGCTTCTTGCCCTGCCTTCAGGTGCTTTGGAGAATAGCCTGACCCCTCCTCTTTGTGGCAGCCCCTCAAATACTGGAAGGCTGCTATCATGTCCCCCCCTGGTCCTTCTTTTCTCTATGAAAAAAGTGACAAGATCATTCTTCATACTTACAACCTTTGCAGTACCCCAATTCCCCATGATCATGCGATCAAATTTCAGACACTTGTCAACTGGTTCATACTTATGACCGTTGCTGTGTCCCAAGGTCATGTCCCCTTTAGTGACCCTTCTGATGAGCAAAATCAACGGGGAAGCCAGATTCACTTAATGACTGGGTTTACTGTCTTATCAACTGCCGTGATTCACTTAATCAACTGTGGCAACAAAAGATTCGTAAAATGTGGCCAGACTCAGTTAATAAGGGTCTCACTTAACAACAGGCATCCTGGGCTCCATTTTAGCCGTAAGTCAAGGACTATCTGTATTATTATTATTATTTTTTGCAATTGAAATTGTCTCCAAGTCTTTAATCATCCTAGCTGCTCTTTTCTGCTCTTTTTCCAAAGTCTCAACATCTTTTTTGTAACGTGGTGACCAAAACGGGATGCAGTTATTCCACTTACTTATAAAGCTTTATAAAGCGGTTCTAAGACCTCACGTGATTTTGATTCTCTGCCTCTGTTTATACAACCAAGAATTGTATTAGCATTCTTGGCTATTTTTTTCCCCTCCCCTTTCGTTTTCATTTTGCTCCCTGCGCAGGGAGGCCCTTCTTGCGATGGGCAGCCGTACAAATGGAATTAAATCATCGATAGATAAATAAATAAAGACGACGTCCAAGCTGGGATGCATCTCCTGCTTGGCTCTCACCGAGGCGTTTCTGCGGATGCCAGCGGGCAGCCGAGTTGGAAGGCAGCCGATGGGCCCAACAAGCTTTGGCAACGGCAGCGTTTTTAATCCACGAATGTCAAACCCCGCAATCTGCGGCGGCGCTCCCTGCCAGATGCCTGCGAGGCTCAGCCAGATGTTTTATCCTGGCTACATTAAGCTGTGCTGAAGTCTCCCGGGATCCTGGCATCCAGGTTGGCTTTCTTGCTTGGCCACAAGCCTAGATGGTTTGCTTCTTGCTCAATCTCTAGTTAGATTGGGGGGGGGGGAGGTTGGCTGGAGGAGAAATTGACCTCTGATGAGCCGAGGTGGCGCAGTGGTTAAATGCAGCACTGCAGGCTACTTCAGCTGACTGCAGTTCTGCAGTTCGGCTGTTCAAATCTCACCG